ATGGCTAAACTCCTCTCCCCTCCCCCCGCCCCCCCCCCACACACCTTTTTAAATTATAGAATAATTGAGCAATTTTTAAAAGTAACACCACCTTCACAAATAAAAAAAAAAAGTAAGAATTTGTTTTGCTCATACTTGAATTAAATAAATAACCCTCACCCAACCAGAGTAGCTCAGTTGGTTGATTGTTATTCTCTGTACCTAAGAGTTGCAGGTTCAATTCCTGATTGGGCCACATACCCAGGTTGAGGGTTCAGTCCCCGGCTGGAGCACGTGTTTCTCCCTCTCTCTTTCTCTCCTTCCTTCCTTCCCTCCCTTCTTCTACCAAGCATGTCCTCGGTGAGGTTTAAAAAAAAAGGAGAATAACTCTCCAGACAATTACTTAAGTATTTGTTGAACCCCAGTTGAGTGCCATTCACTACATTAGGCCTTTAGAATGCCATAGTAAAAATAAACAAGGTCCCTGATCTCACTGAGATTATAGTCTAGAGAGAAAACATTATTCCAATACTCATACTACTATGAACCTACAATAAAAAAAAATATGTGAATGCTTAGAATCAAATATGATTCCCTGTGAATATTTAATAAATTAACTTAACCCATAAGGAAAATTTCAGTAGGATGAAGGTTTACTTCATGAGTGACTACTGAGCTAAGATTTTTAAAATGAGTAGGAGGTAATAAGACAAAGAGGAGAGGTCAACATTTCAGAAGAAAAATAAGTATCTGCAAATTCCTGTGGCAGGAAGCAGCCTGGCAACTATGAGAGTCTAAAACAGCGGTTCTCAACCTGTGGGTCGCCGACCCCTTTGGGGGTCGAATGACCCTTTCACAGGGGTTGCCTAAGACCATCAGAAAACACATATATAATTACATGCTGTTTTTGTGATTAATCACTATGCTTTATGTTCAATTTGTAACAATGAAAATACATCCTGCATATCAGATATTTACATTATGATTCATAACAGTAGCAAAATTACAGTTATGAAGTAGCAACGAAAATAATTTTATGGTTGGGGGTCACCACAACATGAGGGACTGTATAAAGGGTCGCGGCATTAGAAAGGTTGAGAACCACTGGCCCAAAAGAAGACCAGAGAGGTTAGAGAACAGAAAGGAAAAGGGAAACTTATCAGAGTTAAGCCTATGGAGCTATTTAGGAGTGAAAGACAGAGATGTTGCTGGCTTATATGAGCTAAATAGGCCAGTTGTTATATTCTTAGAAATTTTGTGAGCCATCTATTAAATGATCATTATTGAAAACAAAGGTAGGTATATAAACTTGTTAAATAAATTACATTAAAAATAAAAGTTTTCAGATTATGCTTTTCTAAATGTATCTTTATTGTTGAAAGTATTACAGTTGTCCCCCATTGATCCCTTCTGCCACGCTCCCACCCCCTCCGCAGGCCTTCACCACACTATTTCTAATTATTCTTAATCATTTGTAATGATTTCACTACATTTTACTATTATTTGTATTCCCGAGCTTATATATATCTATTCTGTTGGCATGGTGGAAACACTTGGCAACGATGTGTTACTGAACATTTCTTTCTAGCCTCACAGTCGATGAAATTGACCCTCATGGATGTTTACACTCTGAAAACTGGCAAACTGTTCAAATCAGGATCCCCTTGCACCCTTAAGATCCATTGTTAAACACCAGCACAGCACTGAGTAAGACTATATAGGACCTTGGAGATCATGTTAAGAATTGATCTTTATCATAGGAGAAGTGAACAGGCATGAAAGATTCTAAGCAGGAGGTTGGCAAGAGCACACACTTCTATTTTTAAAAGATCACTGAGACTAGAGAAATGAAAGAGGAAGCAAGGTGACTCTGAGTGGCCTGGATGGTAAGTAATGGTGCCTCAGACTAGGATCAAAGAAATGAAAATACAAGTGAATGGATTTAAGATATATTGAAGGGTTAAAATAGAAGGATGAGCTCAGGTGGTATTAGCACGAACCAGACATGAAGAAGTAAAATCTCTATATTGTCCCTAATTTCTAGTTGGTTATGATGTTTTCATTTTGAGCCCAATCCTGCCACCATGTGTCAAAGAGCCAACTTCTCAGTTGAACAAACTGGGCCTGATTAAGAGAAAAGGGGAAAAAAAACAACAACAACAAAAAACAAAAACAAACCTACAGATACAAATATATAAATTGTACAAAAATAAATTATTTGTCATGTAATTCACAACTTGTCCATTTTCATATACTAGTATGCGTAATAGTATAGTCATGAGAATGGCCTCCAAGATCCCTGACTATGAGGAGTGGGAATGACTGAGGCCCAGCTGCCGTTCTCAGAAGTCCAGCATTTGAGTCAAGGTCATCCTCACACAAGCTGCCCCCAGGCAGTGACTGAACAGGACAGAGACCCTAAGGCAAGCCTGTCATGGGAGATGCTAGATTACTTTGCTGGGCAGCTTTAACTCCATGACTCCCCAGTGCCCCTAGGAAATCTTTCCTTAAAACTGTCTAACATGCTTCCACCCAGTTATCCTGTCTTCAGAATTACTCTCCTTTACTTGGGGTAGGGCCTATATCAGTGATGGCGAGCCTATGACACGTGTGTCAGAGGTGACACGCAAACTCATTTTTAGGTTGATTTTTCTTTGTTAAATGGCATTTAAGTATATAAAATAAACATAAAAAATATAAGTCTTTGTTTTACTATGGTTGCAAATATCAAAAAATTTCTATATGTGACACGGCACCAGAGTTAAGTTAGGGTTTTTCAAAATGCTGACACGCTGAGCTCAAAAGGTTCGCCATCACTGGCCTATATCATGGTCTGATGGTTCTGACAAACTTATTTGATTCCCTGCCTCTGCCTGTGTCTGTGGCAGCTTTTGAGTGGTGGTTGTGACTTGGGTCTCTCCCCAAGTGATAACAGTCATCTGTGAATTCTGTGTCCAAGAGAATTTTCTGGCCCCTTCCCCTACCTTGTCCTAGAGGAAGGATTTCATTGTCTGTGTCTTAGAGGTTAGGGTTGTGTTTTTTTTTGTTTTTTTTTTGTCATTTCTCTCCTTCTTAAAGCTTTAGTTTTGTAAAGAAAGGGGTCTGGGATATGGGTGGGGTTTTGAGCCTGTTTACCTAGGAGGGACTCTTTCCAGTGTCTTCCCCTGCCCTCAGTCTCCCAGGTGAGAGGCACATGAAGAAGGGACATGAGTGAGAACAAGTTGCCTTGTCTGACATGACAGCACACGCTCTGCCTTTAATCACTCATTAACATAGCTGGGGGTTTTTTTACTCACTTTGGTGGAGGCTGCCAATTTTCCTGTGATTTGCCAAAGGTGGGACAATCTTTGTGTCCTATCTATCCTAAGGGAGCTTGAAACTCCTTGCAGTTCTGTTCATTCCGTTATTTTGTGATCCTAGTTCTCTGATGGTCTAGTAAAGTTATGATTTTGAAAATTGTCTGGCTTTTTCTCATTTTTAGCATGAGATTAATGTTCTCCCATAGATTTCTATCTGCTCAGCAAATCTCCTCTTGTTTTTAAAAATCAGGACTGTTTCTGCATCAGGATTTTATCTTCGGTGGGTATAGCAGAGTTAGGGATAAAACGTATGCATAAATAGTGTATTATATTCTAGGCATGTGAAATCATGATGTTATCAGTTGCCACTCTTATGGCAGCTATTCTGTAAATTCATTGAATGAAAACATTGTGCGGTAATGGAATACACAATTCAACATTAGTCAAGTCTCCCATAGCGGATCACAGCTAGCCGGGAAGACATTGTTTCTAATATATTTTGCTTCGGGGTCCTTTTTCAACACAGTTCCCTTGTCCTTTCCAACCAGGTGGTTGACCAGATTGATACCCTGACCTCTGACCTACAGCTGGAGGATGAGATGACCGACAGCTCCAAAACGGACACCCTGAATAGTAGCTCAAGCAGCACGACAGCCTCCAGCCTAGAGAAGATCAAAGTGCAGGCCAATGCACCGCTCATTAAACCCCCAGCGCACCCATCTGCTATCCTCACGGTCCTGAGAAAGCCAAACCCTCCACCGCCTCCTCCACGGTTGACACCCGTGAAGAGTGAAGACCCCCAGAGGGTGGTGCCGGCTGTCAATCCTGTAAAGACCAATGGCACCCTTCTGCGGAATGGTGGCTTACCGGGAGCACCAAACAAAATCCCCAATGGAGACATCTGCTGCACACCCGGTAGCAATTCGGACAAGGCGCCCGTGCAGCCTCTGATGCATAGACCTGAAAAAGACAGGTGTCCCCAGGCAGGGCCTCGGGAAAGGGTTCGGTTTAATGAAAAAGTGCAGTACCATGGCTATTGCCCTGACTGTGAGACCCGGTATAACATAAAAAACCGGGAGGTCCATTTGCACAGTGAACCTGTCCAGCCGCCAGGAAAGCTTCCTCCCCAAGGCCCTCCCCGCCCTCCTCCACCGCATCTCCCTCCATTTCCACTGGAAAATGGGGGACTGGGAATAAGCCACAGTAACAGCTACCCGCCTCTCAGACCTGCAACTGTGCCTCCTCCCACTGCACCAAAACCACAGAAGACGATCTTGAGGAAATCAACCACTACAACAGTGTGATGTATGCCATTTAAAAACACTTTTTATTTTATTTTCATTTTTATATTATAAACATAATAAGTAATGCGCACTTTCTACTCAAGCAATAAAAAGCCCAAATATATTAATCCTGCATTCAGCAAAGTGGCATAAAAATCACCTGGTAAGTATGCAGTACATTATTATATCCTGGGTATACACTGTTTAAAAAGTTACATTATCAGAAACCACAGAATAATGAAAACGCTGAATATGTTTTTTCAATGGACCTGTAACAGTGGCTTGTAGTTTCAAATCATTTGATTTACTATGAGAGATGGGATTAGATTTATTTTATTCATGTGTAACTTATCTATATTAATAACATATCATACTATTAATTTTGACCTAATGCTTTTTAATAAGAAATTTTAATACTGAAGGGCTATTTTATCATTTTTTTCTAAAGATATTTGTTACTAGTTTTGCATTATTAAATTCTGAGGACAATGGCAAAAAGTTTATTTTCTATACTTCAGAGATTATTATGACCACCCCATCAGTACAATGAAGTGAATTAGTTATGCAAATAATAATAATAATAAAACCTTGAGAGTATTTGCTTAGGAAGTTTTCAATATTCAGTATTTTGGGAAGTGTCAATGAAGTACTTACTGATGGGGTGGTCATAATAATCTGGCCGGTCATCATAATCTGGCCACTCAGTGTAAACAATTAGAATTAACAATTAGAATTAAACTGTATAGGTAATGAAAGATTTGGTGCGTGGAAATATCATGCCAATAGACAGTAGATAATAGCAAAACCAAATGTTTCATGGAATAAAAATGAAGCAGTGGTGCGGTTAATCCCTTGTTAATACTCATCAAATTGGGTAGTAATACAGACAGAGTTTGAATGGAGAAGATCACAGTTAATTATGTGAGATTTTTCTAAATTAAATATCATAACCAAGTCATAAATATAACTTTACACATTTTCATATTATATATTTTGGTACCTCAAGGACCTTCTATTGACTGCCTCCTACACTGCCAACCCCTTCCACCCTTCTCACGCCCACATTTTTCCAGGACACAACTTAATCCAGTACATGGAAGTGGTGGGATGACTTGCCTCCTGTATCAGCAAGTTCTCTGTCTCCCAGAGGGAATCCCATTGATAGAAGAACTATAGGGAAAAATAAAGATGCTTCTAGAACAGGATGTTTTTAGCATTCGCCTTAAGCTGATTCCCTTGAAATATGCCAGGGGTCTTTGTTATTCACTGAAGGAAGAGGAAAATTCCTTTGCTTCTAATGGCCAATAAAGGTGTGTTTTTGTTTTGGTTTAGTCTAATTTACCACTTTAGGTCACTTATCACCCATGGACCAAGTTTACTTCCCTACTATTATGATTTGAACTTAATTGATATTTGGCCCTAGAACTAGAAATGAGTTTATTTCCCCTAAATCATGATGACAGGTGCATATCTGAACAATATTTGTCAATTAAGTGGGAAGAGTAGAGGGATTCATCTTTAGTGAAATTTTTTTTTATTGCACAACTTAATGAAGAGTACTGTGATTTTTTTGACTAGTTCACTTTTGATCTTTAAACTTTAATTTTTGTTGCTATAGAGAAAGAGTATTCAATTATATTTCCTTGTTGCCTTTTTCAAGTTATATCATGGTAATTTGGAATACTATTTTTTAAATAACTTTCTATTAAAAGATGATATAATGTTTTAGGCAGAATGACAGAAAGATAATAGGCTTTATTTTTTAAAGAAACAATTGAATGAAAACAAAGAGGACACTCAGAATGATTTTCGTTCTGTGTTTGTGGACATAAAGGTAATGTAAGTAGAATAAATGTAATTTTTCATAAAGTTACAAAACATAAAACCAATAATCAAGAAAGGCCATAATCAAAATTTGTTAATTTTATGATAAGTGTGTTTAATAAATATGAATCAGGTAAACAGATAATTGATTTATTGGATAGCAAAATAATACATTCTTAACTTTTTAATGCACCCATTTAGCTTGATAGAAATAAACCCAGGGTTTATTATCTTTCTATATTTAAATAATATTTTCAAATGTTCATCCAGTGTTAGACCTTTTGGTCTTAGAAGACATCTTTCTTCCACAGCCTATTACTGAGACCAAATAATTAACTTATAATTTCAGACATTGACTCCTTCTCGATATCTGGGAACCAATCTGAATCTCAAAATAGAGCTTCTTGTCAATCACAAATCATCCACAGAGTAGATAACTTATTTGCAATAAATCAAGTTGAATAAGTTGAATAATTCGAGCTGGTTGAGTGTGAATATTGAGCCAAAAGCCTAAACACAACCTTTGAGGTTTAAATCCATCTCTCTGCTTCAAAGTGCAGACAAAGCTCCCCCATGAAAGACCATTGTTTAAAATATGATTAGTGACATAGGCCCAAACTACAAGGTCTGTTTTTATTTAACACATTTATAAGCAACTGTTGGCCTGCGAAGCTGAGTTAAATCCCAAGCTAAAAAAAAAAGTTATAGTTATTGACCTTCTTCTCTTATTATAGTTAATCACATAATCAAGAGTTTTAGTACAGCAGTGTTAAGACTTTCTTTTGACTTTATTTGCTCTATCTGCTCCCCTTTTTTTCATTAATATATAGAATACATGAGGCCAATAAGGTATTTTTTGTTTGTTTATTTGTTTTACTGATGATTTGGTAATATTCACTGAAACAGTTATTTCATATGTATATATGCCATATTTATATATTTGTAAAACACAGAAAGCAATTAACACAGAGCATCATAATATTTGTCTGGAATCTTGTGATTGAAGTGTAAGGGACTGCAGTTTTTGCTATCAGCCAACATTGCTTTCAGAATTTAAATTCTGAACTGCAAACTCTGTGTATCATCCATTAAATTATCATAACACATGGTATATATTTCCTATTCCTGAAGATTCCAAAGTTGAAATGCTTTCCTCACATCATTAGTGGGAAGTTATTTTTTACAATATGCATTTGAACACTTTAAATTGCTTAATCCATACAAAGGACTATGGACTAACCTCCATAGTCCTTTGAAAGGGATGTTTCTGCAAAATATAAAATGGTAATACTGCTTATGACAAAATCAACTCTTAATGAAAGGCAGAATATATACTTTAAAAATGTAGCATTCATTAATTAAATTGGAATAGAAAAGGTTTTTGTCTTGTTAATTTAAACAAAGATTATCTCACTTCTGTGATGGGAGGTTGTTGTGTCCCTGCTGATGAAAGGTAAAAAGAAAATAAAAATAGACCAAAGTTCTCTTTCATCTTTTGGTAGTTTTAACAGTTATAAAAAGAAACAAAACTGGTATTTTTAGGTCATGCTTAAGCTAAATATAAAATCTGCTTAAAAATACAGGGCATACAAAAAAGAGAAATTTCCCATTTCTTTCAATGTGATATAATTATATTCATACCTCCCCTCATTAGTTTAATAATATTCTAGAAAAAATGAGTCTATTAACTGAAATGGTTTCATTAACATAAAATTCTTGTCTTTGAATTATGCCTGCATATAATTACTTAATGAATAAAGAAATAAGGCACTGCATTATATGGCTTTTTTTTGTTTTTTTGGACAAATCAGTAGTTAGTTGCTTATGGCAGCTACACAGTCTCTGAAACCTACAGGTAAGAGGTATCTCAGAGCCATCGAGTTATACCTTGTTCCCTGTAGGTTTCAGGTAAGACCTCTTACCTGTAGGTTCTAATTATAGTTCTTTGTGGATCCTCTATGAAGAAGAGCCTGAGTGGTTCCACTTGGAATTGCACCGGGAATGGTGTAATCAAGTCATAAATCACTGCCTTAACTGAATTGTTTTCCAGGGAATACATGCAAAAAAATGCATTGTCAAGCCTTGTAATTGTCCTGATTCAGTTTCGTTCTCTCAACTTCATTAGTTGTACATCTTACTATAATATGCACTCAGATTTGTAGCAAAAGATTGCATTGCAATGTACTTCAGTGATTTCTAAGTAAGGGAGTGATTTATGAGCAATAAAAATTCATATCACGTAATTGGGTAAAATATATAGACTTTGATGATTCATAGACACTATCAGATAATCACAAGATGTTTTTTGGGTCAATTTGACACTATATTTGAATTTTTAGACTAAATATTTTGGAGTTTTAGAATCATTCAAGTTTTCTGATTCTGAAGTAATGACAGTTTTGATGCTACTTTGAGGGCACACAGCAGTGTAGAACATAAAACTGCAGTTAACCATATCTTAGTGGAACCACAATTATGTAGGCTGTCATTTTATTGGACATTCTTGGATTTATCATTCTGATCTTTTGGGGAAAAACTAAAGTGGAACATACAGAAGATTTGCGTATAAACCCGCTTTAAAATGTTAGTAAATCAACAAAGAGTATAGAGTTGGTTAAAGGCCAAGGTAAAATAAGGAGGACATATTGCTTATAATTTATAACTTCTAGAGTTATCAAAAATAGGTAAGCTAATAGTAACTGCTTTATAAAACTTTATATACATTAGAGTTTCATATGAATGTATGAAATAGTTATTATTTTTATTTACAAGTGAAGAAATTTAGGACCTCAGTTTCAGTATTTTATTAAAATCAACCCTTTAAAGTGATTTGGATAGTATTTTAGTGACAGCCTGACTTCCCACAATTTTCCCCCACAACATCACCATTTAATTGTGTTCTTCATAGCACTGAACTTTGCAAAATTTTGCCTTTATTCTTAGCAGTTATTTTGACGCTTGAAGGGGGTTACTTAATGTTGTTTTGACATGCTTAATATGTTTGATCTTTGCAGAATATGAAAGTGATCTCAGGCAATTTAGCTACCACATAAAATGAATGAGCTGCTGAATAATGAAAGCCTCATTTTTCTCATGTATTGTAAGCGGCTTCACCTTTCAGTTTTTTTCCCACTGAGTTCAAAGACTGTTGATTATGTTGGTTTCTGTCCCTAAGAAGCTCTGATTTCATCGTTTTAATGCTATTTGACCCTGAATATGTCACTTCTATTACTGGTATTTCATTTTTGAATTTCATCTACTTAACATTGACCCCTACAGTTCTAAGAAAAGCAATAGATCCACTCCATGGAACCACTAAAAAGCAGTGCATTGGAGATG